CAGTTACGCATTTTAACGCAAATACCATTTCCTACGTCTAGCGCAAAATCACACACATGCCGTTTCCCCGCAATCACACATTTTCACGCACTTTGAAAAGTTCATATAATGATTAATTTATTGCCAATTTCCTTCTATTTTATACTTGCAAAAATCTCATTAAATGCGAAAAGTTATTTTTCTATTAAAATATAGCGTCATAAAATTATTGTAACGTGGAATGAGCAAGGCTTTTCATTTAAATCGAAACAAGAATTTCTTCAAATAAGAATTTATTTACAAAAAAAAAGAAAGAAAGAAAATACAATTAAACTAATAAATCACACAATCACACTCACGCACACTTACTCAAATGATCGAACCAAAAAATGTTATTAACATTGACCAAAAAAATGAATGATAAAAAGATGTTTAAACAGCTGTATCAGCTATCAACATGTGTGCAATTAAACCCAACTTAGTGTTAATATATAGTATTGTCCATAATTATCCACTCGACGGTCTCAATCAAGTCCAACACTGCCTTAAATCCTTAAACCTCCCAAGCCTTTAGTCCCAGACTTGGGATAAATGTTCCAAGTATTGGAAATTACCGCGTCAAAGTCGCATCATCATCGTCTTCATCAACATCATCATCATCGACATCATCGTCGTCATCATTACATGTACCACGAACACCTTAGCATGGTGCACGGGAGAGGAAGATACTACTATGATTGTACGCCACGAGAGTACTTCATCGGCAGTTATGCAGAATCTGGTTTTGACAGCCTTTCGCAATTTCGTCGTTATGAAGCTACATGTACCCCATTAGGCAGTGATGAAAAGTACTCTTTTGATACATATCTCACATATTCTACAATTATGGACTCTATTGGTGTTGAATATGGTTTGTTATTCACCAGAAAAATATTCATATTGACCGAGGCGAAGCCGGGGTCAATATGGATATTTTTCATGTGAATAACAAACCATATTCAACACCAAAAGAGTCCATAATTGTTTTATTATATAGTCGGGATTTGAATAGATAAGACATTGAAGGCTGTATGATGACACCATTTTCATTTGCGATCTTCCATTGTTGAAAATAAAAAAAATCTCCAGATTACTGTTTGTAGCCTCCGTGTTTTCCTTTCCAAGTTTCGCTATGTGTGTGACATCCAGATGTTAAAAAATAATCATGAAATAGGTTTGAATAATTGTTTTCCTGCACATATACGTAGCTCGCTGCTTCCTTTACAACCATCGTTTACAACGTTGTTTGATATTTTGATTGTGACGTCACAATGCCGTTGCACGCGCATCGACCCTCCGCTAAATACGGCCTCAAAACCGTTGAATATGTAGTGTTATGAACTGTTTGCGTTTGTATAGATTATATAGGGAATATAAATAGACTATATGATAGAGATGGTTATTTGACAATAACAATGATTTATTCTCTTAAATGTTCAAACGTTGTAGGGAGGCAGTAAGAAAAGATATAAACAGAAGAAAAGAATACAATACATGTATGTTTAACAGAACAACATATTTTTAAGTTTTTATCAAAAACAAGTCTGTCTTCAATGATGATTGTTATTTCGAAATCAATTTTCAGAAGAAAACGGATCAGATTCAAAATGTCGTCCGCCCACATTAATACACACTTGAAATCAGGGTATAATTAATAGTGTAAGGCTATCGACTTGTCAGACGGTAATCCTTAATGAGATGTCTTCGACAGTACCTTGTCAGCGAACAGGGAACTATGCACGACCTACATTGACAGATTTAATGACTAATTATTTTTTACAAAACTTCGAATTTCACGCAAGGATATAAGATATTAAAAATTAGATTGTAGACAAAAGGACAATTATATTGAAACCCACTACACTATGAAATGAATTTAAACTGAAAATATGATACGTTAAAAAAATATTTTGTAAACTTAAATGATACTGAAGAATTTCCAGTTATATAGGCACAAAACCGAAAATATCCTATGCATATTTACAAGATCTTCAATCTGCTTTTTCAGTATAAATCTTCAATCAAACATATTTGTAAAATAACAAAACTGTGTAATATAATATTGTTAAATTTCAAATTTATTATGCTTATGAAACTGCAAATAACAAAGCAAGGATTTCATAACATTGATAAAAAAGTTGTTTAACAAAAATCTTTTCGATTAAGAAATAAAATTTTTGTATCATGCTTTTAAAAAGATAATAATTTGATAATAGATATGAACTATAGTTACTTTGAGCACTGGGCTTACGAGTTAATGTCCCTCAGCCCGCCTGAAACACATATGATTATAACGACCAAGTACGCGTCGCTGGTAAAAGTTTGCGACCAGTCAATCAGCATCAACAGTCGCAAAAACAAAATTTGAAGATAGTTATTCCCTGATTTACCATTGCTTTTCGGTCAAGTTAGTGTGAATACCTCGAGCCATTGAAAACCTCCTCTAAGATCTGAAACGATTTTCGCTCTAGCTATGAACTATTATTGTTTGATAGGACTTACAATGGGTTTGACGCGTTAACAGAGGGAGCTATTTTTCTTTGTAGGCCTCTGATCCTACATCTATAATTTCCAGGAAACCGTGATTCATGCCCTTTTCACTTTGTATTGATTATAGATTTTTGGAGATCGATCACTGTTCATTATCTGCACCATCTCATTTCATAGGCAACATTAAAATACTAGGGTGTTTTGAATACAACGAGATCTTTTGAACTTTACCATTTGTATATACTTAACCCAAACGGTCTCTAATCAGTGCCTTAATTTTGAACCGAATTTTATATACATTGGACTTGATGTAAATTATAGCCTTTTTTCTTCTGGCTTTTAACAATCAAAATCATAAAGGATTTGGATTGGTTGTCTTAGAATTTCCATTTTCAAACAGGAAATATGCTTGTACATCTGAATGATCTGTTTTCAAACTTTAAAATGCACGGCATGCAATAACTTTGATCAATATGTACAGTGGAGCCTCATTTATTCGGACGCTTTGGTTCCTAGTCAATTTGTCCGAATATGTGTTGAGTGTCCGGATATTAGAATCACCATTTAAACAAGCCACTGTATAAAAAATAAGGGAAAATCAACTTTGAATGAACCTTTTGCGATTTTTAATCAAATTGATATTTGCTCAAAGTTTAGAAAAAGGTAAAATTCATCGTCTTTTAAATTTCAAATTAAGACGATTTGTTCTCCTTTGCAACATTTAAAGTGTGGGGGTAGAGTATACTTACACATATCAAACCACCCAAGAATTACAATGTTTATTTATCTCGAAATTTTCTCCTTTATTTCAGTTTGGCTCCTATTGTTTTTGTGGTAGTCATGTAAGGTTCTGGATGAAACGCTCAAACAGCGTATGTAACTTAACCTGTCCAGGCAATCACCAGGTCACAAGTTGCGGATCTTGGAGAAACTAAATATTTACTGTTTTACAGTAAAAAGAGATATTGAAAGAGTAATCTTTTTTTACATAGATTTTGTCAGTTAAAATAAGTTCGATGTTTACTTACTTGTTGCCATGGGTACCCATGACAAAGTCTTAGACAAACAAACGTTCATGTAAAATTGCTTTTTTTAATTAATTTTTTCTAGTATAGTCACTTACAACGACAAGATGTATGAAACACAAACATGAGGTTGTTCTTTATATTTTTTTCATACAGCGTATACAAGCAAATTGTATATATAAATTCTTTTTTTTAATTAATTCTCATTGATCTTTATATGTTGTAATTGGTGTGTTGTATTCAAATCTTCATCTGGAGGAAATAAACAATGGATGGAAGTTAGCCATTAAAGATGACTACTTATAATAAAGACGATGAATGTAATTTCCTAAGAGGATAATCAAAAGATCTTTTTGGTTTGAACTATTTTTAAAAAGTAAGGGATGCTTAAATAGATATTACCTGTATTTTATATTGATGGTACTTAAAGGAAAAGAATTTTGACTTTCATGTGTGATTGTACATATATATATCAAAGGAGTTTCCAAGAAATTAAAATAATGAAAAAAAATTGACCTCTTAAATGAACAGGAATTGTCCTTGAAGTCTAGTTCTTATATCTGAAAAACATGCTCACCCAGCTTGTAATTTGAATTATTTTTTAATGGACAGGGATACCTTCTATGTCTACTTCCGTTAAAGAGTTCAATTTAACTGTTTCCATGCATGTTCATAGAATTTTTGTTGTGTTAATTTGATGACAAATACCAGAGTTTGACAAATTAATTTCAGAAATACTCATTTAAGTGAAACGATTTTTAACGAAGGAATTTAAACTTACAAAATGCAAATTCCACTGAAAGTAGTATCATGTTTTCAGAATCTACAAGATATGAGAAAATTATTTTTATGATTGAATGTTAACTAGGGTGTGCCCTACCGATATTGAAATCTATTAAAGACTTGGCTGCAGTATATGCATAATGTGGCAAAACGAAGTCGGATTATACTATGCTTTTTAAAATACATGAAAAAGTCATGTGATGATACAATAGCTTTCAAAAGTCAGTTCAAAAGATTATCTATTATCCGTTGATTTCTTTATAGTATGAATAACAATGCCTTGTAATTTATTGGTACAGTGATCTAGCAGATAGGTTATGTTTAATGTAAAGATCCTTGAAATTCTATTTCTCTGCAAAATATCTGATGAATTTCGTTTAAAATAATTGATAGATGAGTGAGAGTAATTACTGAATAGTTGATATTTTTCTATAATAGATGAAGGTTTGTGTTTTTAATCGATTTCTAAGTTCTTAAATGAGCGCAGTCGTTTGTTCTTAACACCGGTGACAATTTGAGGGATCTATTTGTTATCTGTATAACTGTCCCATTCATTACCTTGTCTAAGGCCACCGCTGTGTCGTTACATTACACAGCTAAAGTTGAATTTGATAATAAAAAGTCAGATAAAGACCTTCTGTGGGAATCTGACGCTCAGTCGTTATGTGTATGTACAATGATGTGTCCAGAAAAGTGTTGCTTCTTTGGTTACAATCCAAGACTGAGGAAATGCCGTGTTCATCGGACTTCCTTCTCTTCCGGAATGTTAGAGGAGCCCGGATGGAGATACTATAGTAACACCAGCCCAGGTATGTCAAGGTTACACTCATATACTTGCCTATGCCATACGACCTCATAGTAACCTATAGCGGTCATTATTTTTAAAAAGGGCATCTAAGAGTGTCACTTCCTTGGAATTTTCTATTTTTTTCAGGTTTAGTATTTTACTTTAAATTTTAATGCACCTATACTTTCTACACTAAATAAAATCGCATAATCAAACTTTTAAGTCAACAGGTTATTTTTGTATTATTACAAATTGCAATTAATTATCCCCGGGGTAGTGTTGAACTTTTAACTTTTTCATTAAGGCATATTTTCTAATTATAGACGTCACGTGGTGACGTCGTACTGAAGTGCTTCATGTAGTATAAGTCCCATTTAAGTCTATAGAATGCATAATTATAACAGAAGTTTTATGCTTGACTTTTCCAATTTATTAGTGTTACATAATTATAAGAAAAGTCTTAATTCGCCGAATTCTGGTCTATGTGCCGCCTGAACATACGTGCGTTTTAATTACTATACAGAGAAATATTTTCTTTTTGATTAATTAGAAGTTGAGAAACACAACTAAAAAGAGATTTTGATTAGTACATTTTTACAATGCACTGTTTAAATGCAGAATTAAATACAATAAAGACCCCTTTATCCTACGGATTCCTTCAGCTTTAAGCATTCGTGAATATTATGTTGGGGGCTTTATAGAAAAATAGTATGAGAAACAAAATTATTAAAGGTTTCGATGAGATGGTTGGAGGCTGCATGATTTAAAATGTTCAAGGTTTGCTACATACTCACCTATTCTATCATTGTTTTATGTTATCAGTACTACTAGTTGCGGTCACATTGGTGTATAGGGGAATCATTTAAGATCAAAAATAAAACTTGTAACTTTGAATTTAATTAAGTCAAAATTAAAGACATAATTACCCGATTTTATTTCTTGTAAAAAAAACCCCAAAAATAAAATCACAAATTACTTTTGTTTGATTTTTACACACACGACACCAGCTGAAAATATTGACATAGCCCCCTTGATCACTGAGATCGGAAATTAACTTAAAATTTAATAAGACTTAATATTCTAAGAGTTCGAACTGAGGCTTTAAGAGAATGATCTTTTAGCTGGACCGCCGCCAGTTTGTGGAATGAACTTTAAATACACATAGGGTGTTGCTCAAAGTGTTGGTGTCCTCAAGAATTTGCTTAAGACACACCTTTTTTAAGAATTGCTTTTCCTGAGTTTCAAACCCTATGATTTTTAAGTCTCTCAAATGCAGGTTTTTAAATCAATTATATATATAAGGTTCCCTTTGTTCGTTTTATTCTTGGTTAGTGTTATTAAGGGGCTCTCTACCATGTCACAACATGGCGTACTTCCATTTTGGTCCCAAATAATCTTATTCGAAGTCACTTAACATCGATAAATCACCGAGCATACCACAACATGCGATATTGTGGATAGGTAGTACATTGTATCACTTCGAGGCGAGAAATCCAACCAGTTATTCTCAAGAAAATGTTGTTTTAAATTTTCTTGTGTCTATTTTTGTAAATCTAAATAAAATTGTGTAGATTTTATCTATAATTCTGGTGTTTATTATTTGAATATTTTATAACATTTAAGTATTGAATATCATATTTTGGGATGTTTTTGGTCCTATAACACACCTGGCCGTACCGACAAATTGAATACCGCGCGTTAGCACGGTATGATACCTGGTAATTTTGTCGGCAGGATCAGGTGTGTTATAAGACCGAAGGCATCCCAAAATATAAATTCAATACAAACATTTACATTCTTTAATTTTTCATCTTCATAATTGTTTATTTCGGTAATTTTTATGTGAATTTAGCACTCTTCAAAATTGGTGCATTATAGAATTAAGAGCCGTCTGTGACGTAGTAAAGTTAAATAACGCAAATGAACATTGCAAGGAAAAAAAGGTGACCGATTGATTTTAAATGCACATTTGTCGTATTACACTGTATTACGTTAATTCAACTGGGTATTTTTAAAGATTAAATTGTGTCAAACAATGTACATGTTGGTGTTCATAAAGTATTGAAAATGCAAATAGTTTTTACTTTGTATTCTAACGTGCAGTGACAAGGTTCCGCGTGTGTTATAGAGATTTGAACGTCATGGATTTTTATTGGATTTCGTAATGAAAATTACACTGAATGTAAATATTAAACTCTGAATGGAAATTTAAAGCACAATGCTTTTAAAAATTAAGAAAGGAAAGGTTTTAACAAAATAAATAAAATATTTTAAATATTTTCAAAATATAAAGTGAAATACTTTCGACTCTTATTTTATCGGATATTGAGCCTATTATTAGAAAGAAATGCATGCAACAAAAATCAATTATACTTCATATGTGTAGAGATCTTCCTGAATACCGAGAAGATATTTTTGTTTTAATTTTATTTGTTTATTCAATCCTACGCAGGTAGGTTAAGGTTACAACCAAATATTCTACTTGCCTATATGATATGACGTCATAGTAAACTATATGACGCGAAGTTTAGATGTAACAATTTCTTGTAATCGATATCCAAGATTGATCTGAGGTCGTAAAAATTAATTAAAATATGCAGAGGCATTATAAAAACAGATTTTGTCGTTTCTGGGTATCTTTAGTTATCACAGGGGATAAATACCAAACCCGTGACGTCATAACTGTTGATCATGCAGTAGCAGAGTGAAAGTGAAACGTAACGAGAATTCATGTAAACAAACACAAGAAATCGGAGTTTAAAAGCATTTAGAATGAATATCATGTGTAATTCATGTGGGAATAAAGCTTATGAATAAGGTATGGTAATATACTTCAACAATTTCTTCCTAAAATTAAAGCAGGGAGGGTGTTTACTTGCCGATCAGCTTTTCCTCTGTTGTTCGTAACAAATAAGATGCAAAAGTTCAACACTTCGCTGCACACTTTGAAACTTAATTTTTGTTTCTTTCTAACGTTCTTATTCTATTGTTTTTGAAAAGTGCTGCTAGAATCGTATTTTTACGGGAATTTTTTTTTATGTTATGAACAAAATGTAAAAATTTTGGGAAGGTTTCGTCAGGAAGTGTTGAACAATTACTTCTGTAATAGGACAGTAGGATTCTAGAAGCACTTTTCATGGTACAGAGATGTTTTTACATAATTATTTTTACAAACTGAAATTAATGATCCCCGGGGTAGTGTTGAACTTTTCACTTTTCATTAAGGCATATTTTCTAATTATAGACGTCGTGGTGAAATGCTTCATGTAGGTATAAGTCCCATTGAGTCTATAGAATGCATAATTCTAACAAAAGTTTTATGCTGGACTTTTCCAAATTATTAGTGTTACCCAATTATTAAAAAGTCTTAATTCGCCGAATTTTGGTCCATGTGCTGCCGTAACATACCCGCGTACTTGTTGCACTTGGTCAGTTCAGAAATTCACACCGTCATGTAGTAACATTTTATTGCTTCGACCTGTTAATGGATAGATATCTATTACAATAAATGACAGTTTGTTGATAATTATACAATTCTCATTATTATTAACAGTCATTTTTAAATATTAAATAACTCACACATTGACGGGCTTAAAACATGACATTGTTTGGCCGTTGAGGAGTCCGTGCATCTCAAACCGGATATTACTTACGAAATAATAAAGTCCGAAACGATACGGACGGAATGTACAATTCCGAAACGTACACTACTTTTTCATTAATGTTTCTCCATTTTTATGCATCTTTCATTCCTTATTCTTTTAAAGCTTCAATAAACTTCTCGTAGATTTATTAAAATATTAATCCTTGTACACTGTTTTAATGTTAATTTTTAGCGCCTCAGACTAGTTTTGATATCTAAGGAGCTATACATTAGATAAATGTATTATTATATTTATCAATTTCTCATTTTCAAAGGCCAAATAAAAAGACTTGGGTGTTTCGAAGACAACTGGAGGAGATCATTTGAACCAAAGAAATTTTATACACTTAACAAAAACGAACCCTCTGCGTGCACTAATTACTGCCTGAAAATTGATCCAGATTTCACATACATCGGACTTCAAGTAATTTTTAGCATTTTTTCTTCTTAATTGTTTTAACAGACAGTATTATGAAGATATTGGAATATTTTCCTATAATTACACTCTTACTAAAAAAAAGTTGCTCCTCTCTTAGAGAAGGATTTTTTTTCATTTAATAGTAATGCATAGTATAGTACATTTCCTATGACAAAAGAGTACACAGACTAAAATAGTGTATTTTCAACCCAAGATGTTATATTTTTTCTTCACATATGAATAACCTGTTTTCAAACTTCAAAACACACGACATGAAATAACTTTGACAAGATATACTTTCAGGATAAGGGAAAAACAACATTTGAAGAATTGTGAACAAGAACTTGTTTAAAAGAAAGAATCTGAGTAAAATGCAAGATGAATACATCTTAAAGACAGGGTTTTTTTAAATAAAGGAAGTTTTTTTAGCAGATGAACCTTCCCATATAAAATTCAAATTCAATATTTTAGATGAATTATCGCATTTTGCAACATTAAACTGTCATTTGTATTTGTGTGTTGGAGTTGTTGGCGGATGGGGTGCCGTAAATCAACTCTTATCGAAACTCAAGATTTTCTTAATTTACCTCCAATATTTCACCTTTTCAGTATGGCTCTGATTGTTTTTGTGGTCGTCATATAAGATTTTGGAACAGACGTCCGGACAGCGAATGTAACTATCCCTGCCCCGGGAATGGACAGGTGACATGTGGCGGAGTGTGGAGAAATGAGATATTTACTGTTTAACAAAGAAGAAAAATCAATTGAAATTTTAGGAACATCTCTTATTATGTAAATATTGACAGAAAATAAGATCCTGATACATATATATGCCGATGTGTTTATTTAAGGAATCATTTATAGAAATGATAATCAAGTTATATGAACAAGGTATGGGATTTGGCAGTATACTCTTGGTAAATAAAAAGCATTTTATTTTATGATCAAAGAAATCTACACAAGGTATAGGAGTATCGCGTGGCTATGTATTTAATTACTTTCTAGCTTAGACGATTTGTTCAGAACATTGGCATTTAAATATTTTATATTGGAATATACTGTCATGCCAAATAATAGATATTTGAGACAAGAAACCTTGTAAAGTAACCGATGCTAAGCAATTTGAAGGGTCTTATCCAATCAATTTTCATTAAATTGAAGATTAAATTTGCTTTTTAAAGTGCATGAGAAATACTTGATTGCCTTGAGGAAACGGTATAAGCCTGATTTTGCGTTAGAAATAGGAAATATGCCTTAAATGCCCGACTGCAGAGAAAGGGGTTCAGCCACAGCGTAAGTGTTTTATCAGTGTGTTCCCGTTTTGCACACATTTAACAATTAAGTATAGAAAAATAGGTGTAAAATGTATTTTTATAACAAATAAAGTCTGATTCCTGTTAAGGATTTACCTGGCTTTACCTGTATATTTCCTATTTGTCATGAATAGGAAGAATACATTTTAATTTAATGTATATGAATAATTATTGGAGAAGGTGAATTTATTTCAAATATTTTTTTTTATTAATTATTATATTTAAAACAATTCATGCAATTTCTGGAAAAACAAATAATTTTTAAAGCTGATATTCAGGAAATTGACACTGATTTCTGAAACTGTTCTTGATTAATTATTTAGTATTTATTTTTAAAATATTTTGTTATAAGACTAAAGAAATAGATGATGACTTGTAATGAACATAATAATTTTTGTTGGTTTTATTACTAATATTAATTTTCTATTCTCTCCTACATAGATTCACCTTTCTCCTATCTACCAACTTTAGTATAGACTATACCAATTATGTCATTATCTAACCTGGTCAAATTTCCATTTTGCAAACATTTTTTCTATGCCTAAAATTACAATGTGTTCAAAACAGGAACAAACCATTTTAACATTATGGAAGAATATATATATATATTATTTTTATCATTTTTTCCCAGCTCTCTGATTGGCTCAAACTTGATCACATGATTTAGTATATAACAGCATAAAGACTTGAGTTACTATTTATAGAATCTGAAATGCATATCGACTTGAGGTTTCTTAAAATGGAGATAATTTCCGTGAAACAAAATAGTACTGTATTCAATCAAAGCTAATACAGTGTATGATTTGATGTTTCTAGAAAAAAAATATTTATTTCAACTTTTACTAACTTTGTTTCAATGTTCTGTATTTGATGAGACAAAAGAAGGCATTGGATTAGGATTACTTCATATTAATTAAAACATATTCGATATGTGTGTCAAATATTGATACAAAACTTAATCAAATAAATGAAGTATTCTGAATAAGTAAATCGTCTAAATCACTCCATCAATATAAAGGAAACGCATTTACATTAAACGGTGTAATTTATTTTGATCTCTAGTCTCTAATTGTTAAAGGGAGAAAACTTTTCCAATTATTTTCATAATTTGTTTTGTCAATCTATGTAAAAAATAATACAGTGAAAACTGTCTAATCCGACACCTGAATAATCCGACACACTGTGAATTCAGACGTAAAATTTCTTTCCCATTTGAGTATTTTCCATGTTTTTAACACTGTGCAATCCGACACCCTGTCTATTCCGACACAAAATTCATCTCCCAGTGCATGTCGGATTAGACAGGTTTCACTGTATAACAAATGTAGCCCTTTAATTCGGTCAATCCATAGATATATCGACTTCACAGAAAAGCATATCGACCTCGCACTTCGTGCTCGGTCGATATGCTTTTCTGTGAAGTCGATATATCTATGGATTGGCCTCATCAAAGGGCTATATTTATATAATATAATTTATTTTATTGTTCATGTAAGAATGTTTTTGTATACAGATGTAATACAACTACAAGTATGTGTTTGAATTAATTCCAATTATTTTTTATGATGTATTTTTATACCAGTTTAATTATATATGATAATTGTCGAATACACTTTCCAATATATCAATATATGCCTGAAATGCTAATCTTTGGTTTTTTGATGTTTAGATCATTTTAACTTAAATTATTTTTTTTCCTGGAGAGTAAGTCGTAGATTGCATAAATGATAAAAAAATGAATTGTGCTTCAATTAAAAAGACCAGTTTAAATCTGTCAGATAATATTATTATAAATTCAAAGTTTATTACATTAACGTTTTATGTGTTATTTGAAGACCAGGACTTCCAACAATCTTATGGAATTGAATTTTTATGGGTATCTGTGCATATCGGTATTAGAAGACCTATATTTTTGTATTCAAATGAAGAAGAGTTTGTTCAAAATTTAAACAGAGAAGTAAAACACACATTGAGTGGCCTTTCACTCAACGTTTATATATATTGCGCATTATGAATTAATAATGATTATTCTATTTCTATATGTTATTATATAAACAAGAGAGTATGCAATGAAAGATACTACTGGGTCTAAATATCTGTTTAATATCTAAATATTAAACTTATATATTAAACTTGAGAGGGATTTTAGCTGTACAGGAAACGTGTTGTCTTTCACTTTTCAATTATCATCTTCCCTTACATGTATTTATGCAGCAATTTACTTTCCTTACCTGAATACAGTGTTCAAATCTCCAAGTTGTTTCGATACGTTACAAGATGCACCACGTAAGAACAATTTCATAAACGAGATATGCAATTAACAAGCAAGTTGCTAAAACAAGACGAACAGCAGTCTCGTTCAAAGTATCATTTCGTAAGTTCTATAGTCGATACAATGACCTAGGCAAAAATACAGTCAACCATTAAACAGATTCTGACAGACGTTTTTCATATTAATTGTTAGACTATTATCTACACTCAAAATAGTGGACAGATGTTTCCATTATTTCTTGATCAAGGCAAAGAGCACACTGCAATTGTGACCGATCGCATAGAATGCTCACTCATACAGAGCACCTGATCCCAATGATCCCACCTCTGATGTTTTACGAAGTTCGTGTTTGCTAAATGTATGCAACAAAATGTGTTTTGGTTAAAGAAATTTGATCTTGAATAGTGTTTGTTATCTTTATACATTTTCATAATTTTGTGTACATTCTAATCTTTGAAAAAACAAAAAGTTATTGTGGAATCATAATTGTGACAGTTTTATAAACCTCTCGGTTTGCTCTTTAGATCGCACAATGATATAAGTTATACACTTGTAAATAACACCATTTTGATTCATGTACAATGTTGTTATATAAACAGCAGATGATAGACACTGCTGATAACAGACAATTTTCAGTACTTGATTACAAAGAAGCATTATAGTTTACAGAAAGATCACATATTTTCGAGGGTCAAATTTTCTTTGTTTGGCAAAAAATATATTAGATCGAGGTTTCGAGGGAATTTGATTTTGAAGTTGAAGAATTGTTAAGAGATAGTATATGTGAAAAATTGCATTTATGGTAGGCATGAATTCGTGGGTCTCTTCATACCTTAAAAACCACAACCCATCAACCCCCGAAATTTAGTGATTTTACAGTATATGAAATAATTATGACTTAAATTTTCTGGCTGTGTGTACTGCCAATTGAAAGAAGTTAGTACTACGTGTAACTCAGAAACATTTGATAAAGTCAAAAGTTCCTGTGTTAATCTCATTTCATCTTATTAAAAATAAATTAAGTTCAGAACATTTCTTATTAGATACTATGAAATAACATATTTCTGTGTTTGATTTATTTTTTACGTTTTCAAGGTATTAAGGAGCCCTAATTTATGAACACCATTAAATGCAAATTTTCACAAACATAACCACTCTGTGATACACAATGACCATAGAAAAATTAGGTTACAACTTAGGACTACAATTTATAATAATGACAACATAGTCATAAAATTTTTTAGATCCTACATTTAAATGTTAGCACTGACGTTGCAATCTAATTCCGGAAAAAAATATTACAGCTTACAATGATAAGTTTAGGATGATTTTACTTTCTAAAGATTCCTTCGTATACAAAGCGGTGGTATTTCAGCAAGAAATGACAGTTTATCTTTCAGCAAGAAATGTTAGTTTGAGGCTTAAAGCTTTATATAAAACATTTGTCCACTGTCGAGCACTCCCTTTGTTAAATATAACTCACTGGAGTGGACTAGTCTTATTCTGCTTAAATGATGGCGGGGAAGAGGCACCATACGAATCTACAAACCATTCAAATGTGTGAGCAAGACAAAAAATATTACAAAAGATATCCAAATTAGCTGTCATGCCAAAGGAATATTGAATTGGCATCTGTTAATTGATCAAAATGATACTTTGAGGTATGAAATACTGTGGACAAGTTTTCATCTCACCGTGTCATTTCCTAACACCGGAACCTCTGACGACGAATTCAGATCTTTGCACTGCTCATCTTTTTATTCGAATTTTTATTAGAGGTTAAGATTATAAGGCTTACAATATTAATGTGTATTATTTGACCTTTGAAACCCTCTGTATATGATTAGATAACGAACTTAAGGGCAATCTAGAGAATCACATGATTTAGAATAAAAATCAATTTTATTGATTAACCGACGAGATTTTTCGACGCATTTTAAACTTGAGATTTCGGATAATCCCTCTAAAACAGAAAGGAGGAACAGAAATAGACATCAGAAGGTTTTGAAGATTTTGTCACCATCAAGGTATCATTGTTACAATAAACATTTATTATATTGAAAAAAAAAACCCAAATATAATTATTAATGTTAGTAACATTAATGTTACTAGTGAAGACAATTTTTTGGGGAAA